AAAAAAAAAAAAAAAAAAAAAAAAAAGTCACAGCTTTAACAATGACAAAAAAAGTTCATGTTACAACAGGCAAATAAATCTGACTGTTGAACAACGTCCCTTGCGGGTTTTATCAGACTATTCAAGTTTTCCATTTCTCCTTGAGGCAATTTTGTTTGATGTTTCCTAGAAACATGTTCATGTTGTCAAAGTTTAAATTTTTATAGGCAAAAAGTAATCTATATTATTCTCTAACTTTTTAATCTCAGCTCTGTCCTATGTCCATTTCCCTTCCTAAAATTATTTTTCACCAGTTTCATATCTTTTCAAACAAACCAACTTTTAGCCATGTTGATCTTCATTATTGTATTTTTGGCTTCTGCTTTGGTTTCTGCTCTAATTTTTATTCTCATTACTTCTATTTTCTCTTTTTTATTACTTATTAAAGTTCAGCCTTTCTTCTATTCTAAGCACGTGAGGCATGGACTTCTCCTTAAGAACTTCTTTAGGTACATCCCCCAAGTTTTGGTACATAGAAATTATCATTATCATTCAGTTATAGGTATTCTCTAATTCCCCTTATGGTATCTTTAATGAGTTAAGACATGTTTTAAATTTCCCAAATATAAGCATTTTTTCAAACGTTTTTGTTTTGTTGTTATGTCCTTAATTATATTGCAGCACAAATACAGTCTGTATGACTCTGATTCTTCGGTATTTATAACCCGGAACATAGAAAGTATAAATGCTCTTTATATGCTTGAGAAAAGTATATATCCTAATTTGGGGGTAAATGTTTCTAAATATCTACTAATCATTGCATTATACAAATCTTATATTGTAAAAGGAGAGGAACTATTTTTGCTTTCCTGGAAACTTCAGCATTAGGGGCTATACCCTGAAAGCCTCCAAGACCAAAAAAAACAACAAAAAAGATTGATCTTGGTATGGTGCAGAGGAACCTTTAATAAATAATAGTAACAGCTATCAATTATTCAACACTTTCTGAAGGCACACACCACACAGACTTTTATATCCATCAGCCTGTTTAATTCTCACCTCACCATGTTCCTACAGAGGTGTGGCTCTCATTTTACAAGAGGAAAGTGAGGTCGGGTGATGGAAACTTGCCTCATGTCACCCAGCTGGGTTAGATCCCATGTCTGTGCAACTCCAAAGCCAGTGACCTCACACCCCTCCAAGCTACTGTCGCAGCTTTGTCCACCCCACACGCTCATAACTACCCCAATCAGCAGGGATGCGGCACCAGGCACACCAGCCCTCCTTGGACTCCTCAGATGACAGCCTTTCCGTAAACGCGTCCCAGCAACACTCTTTAATGCCAATTAGCCTTCAGCTCCTTATCTTCTAGATCAGTGCTGTCTCACCTTCTTGCAATGATGGAAATATTCCACGCACCTGCGCTGTCCAACACGACAGCCACTTGTGGCTATGGAGCACTTGAAATCTGGCTGGTGGAAAATCAATTTAAACGGCCACACGTGGCTGGTGGCTGACCATAATGGACAGCAGTTCTAAATAAGGTCCAGGAGGCACCCCGTTTGGCTCCGGGCTGTATCCCCAACACCAGCAGCAGGGCCCAGCAGTAGTGCACGTCCCATATGCATTTGGTGTATGAACAACACATTACCTATATACTTACCGGTGATCCCCTGGAGGGCACAAACTGTCTTATTCACCATTGTACCCCCATTTCTAGAATGGTGTCTGGCTCAAAAATAAATGCTTAATTTTTTTAACGAATGAACCTTCACTCTATCCAGCGCTCCACACCCCTGGCTCTCGATTCTGCTACGCAATCTCCCACCAGCTGCTCTGCCAAGCCCTCTAGTAACCTGCACATTTCCCGGCAAGGATCATGCCTCCATGACCTTAAGCCTGATTCCTGGGTCACCCTGTTATACTCTTCTCAGATTTCCTCAGGTCCTGAAGACCTGGGATGGCTCCTGCTTCACACGCCGCAGCATCGCCCGGGGCAGACATGACCTAGTGCCTGATGTCTCCACGCACACTTGTTAAGTACTGGCCTGTGTCTGCAGGTGGTTTCAATTTCACATGGAGAAACAGGACAATTAAGTCTAGCCTTTCATCACAGCCTTTGGGACATATTTCCCCATAGAGACCTCTCCCCCTCCATCTATAAAATGGGGATTTAAAAGTTCATGCACACACATCCTTTGCACATCATCACATTTGTTGCAATTATTAACTTTACCCCAATCATCTCCAAGAACCTGACCTTGAGGACACTCCCAAGGTCCACCAATGGCAGCTGCTCCGCATTTATCCTGCTCCCGCCTAACTCGGTAACCTGTCCTCTCAAGTTGACACCATGTATTTTACACCCCAAATAAGTTGACCAACTTGTCCCAGTTTGCCTGGGACTTTCCTGGTTTTAGCAGTGAAAAGTCCCACGCCCTGGGAAACCCCACAATCCCAGGCAAACTAGGACAGCCAGTCACACAAGCAGGCATTTACTCTTGAGCCAGGCCCCAGAACTCCAGGGCCCCCAGCATCCTCAATGCCATCAGCACTTGTCTCACTCCAGGCCACCCTGTTACCAGCCACCTTTTCAAAGCTCTGGCCTGACTCTCTCTCCACGCCTTCAACTGGCATGGGTCCTAAATCTGAGCCAACTACCAGCACTTGCTCACCTCCTGGTCCTAAGTGAACACCTCAAATAACAGCCTACATGCCAAGCCTCAGGAGCGCGAGAGGAAAGGCTCAAGGAGTGAAGACAAGATCTGGCCTGTGACCCACTTTCTCCATGCCCAGCCTTGCTGGCACGTGGCTGTTACTGATTTAAAAGGCAGGTGAGGCAAGTTTGCAAGGTTTATTGAATGAGTGGGCAAAGAGGAAAGCGATGAGCGGCTACAAATTCAAGAGAAAAATTCTTGGTTATTAAAGTCATCCTAGGCGCCGGCCTGGTGGCATGGCGGTTAAGTGTGCGTGCTCCGCTGCTGGTGGCCTGGGTTCGGATCCTGGGCGCGCCCCATCGCACCGCTTGTCAAGCAATGCTGTGGCGGCGTCCCATATAAAGTGGAGGAAGATGGGCACAGATGTTAGCCCAGGGCCAGTCTTCCTCAGCAAAAATAGGAGGATTGGCATGGATGTTAGCTCAGGGCTGATCTTCCTCACAAAAAAATAAAAAATAAAGTCATCCCAGGCGTGTCACAGGGACACGGGGCTGGCCTTTCCTGTCCATGGCCCTCTAAAGGGTACTGTGGTCAAGACTCAGAGCCAGTTGAAGTGGACCCCAAGCCCCCAGTTCCAGTGCTTTCCCTCTGATCTCTCACACAGAGTGAACGGTTGTTCCATGATGCTCTGAGCAGACAATGAGGAGGAGCTCTGACGACACTTCATGTGGTGACCTCAATCTCCACTCTCTGCCCCTCTGGTGTCCATGAACACCACCAAGAGAGCCTGAAAAAAAGGACAGGTGAGACCAATGGTTTGGAGTTCCCATCTGCACAAACGCAAACCAGTTTACCCTCTGGCTGTAGGTTTCAGCCCTTAGCATTAACTCACCTTGGGAGAAATATCAGCAAACCCAGATCCCAAGTCATCCCAAGGGTCACGGACTCATGGCCTTGGGACTTCCTTCAACAGTCTCCAGATGTAAGGCTGACCTAGGAGGGAGACGACACATACTAGCATTTTGCCTCCAGGGTCATCTTCCCAAGTGACATCATAGAGAGGGTCCCAATCAACCAGATCCCAGTTTATGCACGCCAAATTAGCTATCACCAGAATAGAAAGGGCAATAAAGGAAAAACATCTTAAAAGTCTCGTTTTTATAATAAATCATTTCCTTTCAAGCAGTTCACGACCAGATAGAGTAATCCACAGGAAGACAGCTCAGTGCTCAATGTCAGGGGCTTTGACACTGAGGTCCCACTGCACCTTGATCAAAGGGACGGACCACCATCCTCAGCAGCTCTCCTACCACACTGTCATTACTCATCTGCCTAGTCTGTCACAAGGCCCCAGCAGCTGTCATTCTATTCTGCAAAGATCCACTTAATATGACACAGCCAAGAAAAGCAAGTGAAAGACAAACTTCCAGCAAGACGTGTTAGGTGCCCAGATTTCTGAAGATCAAGACTGCCAGGCCCATTTAAGGATAAACGAGAAAACCTTATCAGTGCTTGAGGACACTACACAAGTGAACTCCAACACAATCCACATGACTCTACACCCAGAGGTTTGAATTACCCAGTCTGGGGTGGGGAAGATAAACTGTCTTTTCAAAATGGTCACCGTTGTCCATTAAACCCTCCATCCTGACTGAGGAACCCCAGGACCAGGAACTAGGCTATGGGACAGGACAAGCCTCTGGTGCAAAAAGGGCAGAGGGCAGGTCTGAAAGACCAGGGAGATCGTAGGTTTATTAGATGGCTACTGAGTACCAGGTACCAGGTTCACATATATTATTCTCACTGCCTTCACATCTCACGAGATGGGAACAAAAACATCTGACAAAACAGGATCCCATCCTCAAATACGAGAGACCTGAATGTAGACGGAAGAGGACTTGGGAACCAGACAGGAGCCCTCAGACCAAAAGACAAGGATCAGTGGGATGGATACCTTGACCTCACCTCATCTGTTACGTGGGAGCCAAGACAAGCCTCTCGGGGGCACCATGTTGCATCTTCTGAGTCTACGATGTGAAGGCTCCGTCACACGGTTTCTGCCTCCCACGGAACACCTCTGCGGCACCCAGAATGAAAGGCAGAAGGTCAGCCTATCTGTTGATGGCTGACTACATGGCTGGGAGCCCAGGCAGCAACACAGTCTTCTCATGAACGTGAACCAGAAAGCAAGCTAAGGAGTCTTGAGTCTACAAACAGATTTCAAAGATCCACAGGCCTGAGAATTTCTCTTCTAGTATACCCCTGGGGGCACCCCTTTCAAGAGAACCCACAAAGGCACAGAGTAAAAGTCAGTGAAAGGAGGGCTACAAACAGGTTGATTAAGTCAATGTGCTCCTCTCTCATCAGTTACTGACAAGAAAACCCCTCGGGCTGCTGGTAGACAGTGACAAACGAACACTTTCGTTGATTCAGAATTGACAGAACCCCTCTTTGCCCCTACATCTGTCCCCACCTTTATGTTTCTTTCTCCATTTATTCAACATTACTAATGACTCCTGGAGAAGCAACACATTGTGCTCAACAGACTAAAGGAGCAAAGACAACACAGAAACAGGGCTTCAAGTCACAAGCTGTCTTGAATAATGGATTATTATGGATTATCCTCCACTCCTATAAATTCATAAAGCAGAACCCAGGATTTACATGCTCACATGTGCCCTTCAGCACTATCTAAACTTATTCCAGCGTGACATTCAAATGTAAATGTACAGATTGGTTCCTGACAAGAGGACCCTGAACTTGAAAAGACAAAGTGAACCCCCACAACTCAGGGGGCCAGCCCACTCATCATATGACATGGCCGCCAGCAAAGGCCCAAGCTCTGACGGGAAGGACAGGGGAAAAAGGCTAGTGTGTGAAAGCTCCAGGGTTTGGAAGGGACGGGTGGCCCCTCCAAACACGGGGAAAACCTCTTTCAGCACTTCCTCTCCCTGCACCATCAATGACCAGGGCACAGGCAGCCCACCATCACTTTCGAATGCAGGGGTAGAAACGGACAGAAAGACAGCCAGGAAGGACGGGAGGCTGGTGCCAGGCGCCTGGGGCCTGGCCTGAGCGGGGAGAGCAGCCCAGCCAGAGAGCCCCAGCAGCTTCTGATGTGCCCGGCCAAGTCCCCATAAAACCTCTGTGCCATGGGGGGGTCAAGACACTTTCAGCATAAAAACCAAAATGCTTTTGGGTTGGAAAAGATCAGGATCACGTGGTCATGACACCACCATGAAAAATTTTTTAAAAACCTTCATCGCTATCCCAGCTTTGCTTTTCAGGTGAACAAGTGGAGTTTGAGAATAGGTCACAGAGCTGGACAGGCTAAATCCACATGCTTTCCATCACAGCATGCACTGGCACTCCAGGACTTGGAAGGGAGACGCCCAGGGAGCCCTCTACCCAACGGGTTTCTAGGGGCCTCTCCCCTGTAGGCATGTGAGGGACTGCCCCACAGCAGGGACACAACCGGGAACTCACGGGATGCCACCTTCACCTTCCACCTCACTTCCCCTCACATTATCATCCAAGCCCAAGGGAACATGTACGTGACTTTACAGGCACAACCCCCCCCCCCCACAAAATTCCAGAGAATGGTCCAAAACCTCACCTCGGGGCTCCACGGTGGAGCGCCTGGCTGATATGAAGATGACGCCTGCCATGAAGCCTCTGCACCGCAGACCCATCTGCAAGAGACAAGCCATGACTGGGCACTCACAGTAGGCCCTGGTGGGCAGAGGGCACTGGGCACAGTGGCTGGCAGATTACAGCACCCACAAATGCGGGCTGTTACTACTGGTACCTGAACAGCCACACTACTGTCTCAGGACAAGAACAACTTAACTCTAGCAAGGCATCTGCAGATCATCTGTGACAGAAGTAACATCCATCTTATTCTATGCACCAACTGTGATCAATTTGTTGTTACTCAGTCTATGTTAAAAGGATGCCAAGGCCAGGTTTTTGGGAGCGTGCCATGGCTGACTGGCAGCAACCAGCATGGACTAACAGGTGGTGAGAGGGCCCCACGTCTACCATCTGGCAATAAGCAGTAAGACCTGCTCACATATGTATCCTCAACCATACTGTGCTTTGCCCAGCTCAACTACTACTAGTCCCTGCCCCTGAATCTAAGGGCAGAAGGAAAATCCCCCCAGGTGGACCATGGGCCCTGCCCACGGCCAGGACTCAAGGTGGACTATACTAAGTCTATCCTTCAACAGAGAAACAACACTCTAGTGGGAAAAGAAAAGGAGACTGCCTCAGCCAGGGCAGGTGGGCGTGCTCAAGAGCACTCCCCCCGGGGACACTCCACAACGGGCTGAGCCCTACCACCTCACAACCAGGTGTCATCTCCATCTCCTCGTTTTGTTTTTTTTTTTTGTCCAGGTGCTCCATGTCAGACACCAGGCACAATGCAAAACAAGACAGAGGCCCTGCCCTCAAGCACACAGCACAGGGGGCAGGATAAGCACGTCCCCAATCTCCAGGTGTGATTATGCTGAGGCGGGGCTGAGGATGTGGGAAGGGGTGCGATGTGGAGGCTGATGTGGAGGCCGAGAAAGCCCCCAGGAGGGGAGTGACCATCAGCCCATAAACATAAACTCCCTGGGGCAGGGCCCTGCTTGGCAAAGGGGCACCCAGCAAGCCGCACAGTGCCAGATACCAGAAGTCACACAAACCCGTAGGAAGAAGGGCGTGTACGAAAGCTCCAGGGTCTGGAAGGGACAGGACGGGCCCTCCAGACACGGGGAAAGGCGTTCAGCACTTCCTCTCCCTGCACCATCAATGACCAGGGCACAGGCAGGCCACCGTCACTTTCGAATGCAGGGGCAGACACGGGCAGTGAGTGAGCCGAGCAGAGAGGCCATTGCCAGCATCCTGGGAAGGGGCCTGAACTAGGAACAGACCAGCAGACGGGTCACTGATCAGACTGACAGCCTAAGATTACAGAAGCTACCCCCGGTTTTCAGAGATTATTTACCACTCCCTGCCAGGAGCTAAAGGGAAGACTAACAGCAGAAATGCTGAGAATCCTCGGGCGCTGAGAGATTGGGTGTGAGTGGCACCAATACTGAACATGTGACAGGATTCTCTCTCAGGCTCACAGAAGAGCATGCAGCTGCTCACTGGATATGAATCTGGGTTTGACTCTAAAATGAAGCCCTCTGCTCATTATTCCAGCACATGGCTGTTTTCCTCTCAACATCGCAGCGGCCTTCAGTGGAGGCTCTCAGAAGCAGGCCCAGACCACGGCTTGCCGGCTCAAGGAGTCAAAGGGGGGAGCACTGGGAAGCAGCCTTTTCCTGCACTCTTTCCCCCCACACCTCATCACCTCAACACCTCTGGCCTCGCAGCCTGCACAAACTGGAGATCTAGAGAACCGGGCAGGACGCCACCTACCTGGGACTTCACCATCCAGGCTCTCCCCAAGGACACCTCTCACGCACAGGGAACAGCAATCACATGACATTCCTGCAGGGAACAAGAAGCCAGCACGTGATGGGCCCACTTGGCACTGCTTAGAGCACATCCAGGAAACCATTATGCTCACCAACAGGAAATCTGGGTCTGAGGAGGTGAATGCACTGACAGCCTGTCTCCCTCCATCCTCAGTCCACCTCATGCTCCATCACTACCAGGTCACCTAAGCCTGTTCCGTTTGGAAAGGACAAGTATGGATCCCCTGAATATAAGGAGAACCTTCCAACTTTTCCTTTGCCTGCATTACCAATGACCAGGACACAGGCGGCCTGTCATCACTTCACACGGGGGCAGAAAAGGACTCAGGGCTGCTGAAACAGGAGACCAGTGCCAGAAGACCACAGCTGTGGCTCCACAGTGAACCCACACAGTCCCTGAGGCAGGACCCTCTCTCCTTCTCCTTTCTGAAAGCCTCACACAAACCAGAAGGAGCAAGGCACAGAGAGCACTCAGTAAGACCCCAGGTGACGGGGGGGTCATCTACAAGGCGGGAGCAGGTGTGGGAAAGCGCCAGGGTCTGGAAGGGACGGGTGGACCCTCCAGACACGGGGAAAGGCTTTCAGCACTTCCTCTCCCTGCACCATCAATGACCAGGGCACAGGCAGCCCACCGTCACTTTCGAATGCAGGGGCAGAAACGGGCAGAAGGCGAGCCAGGAAGAGAAGCCCCTGGTAGCCCACTATCCGCCCGGGCAGAGGAAGCGGCCCAGCCGGGCCGAACCCCGAGCTCTATCATCGCTTCATATCAAGATGCCATCTCCCACCATCAACAGACTCCCCAGGAAGAGCAACTTCCGGTAAAAATGCCTCAATTGTTCATTCACCCCACAAATACCAACTGAGTACCTACTATGTGCCAGGCACTGTGGGCTCAAAAACAGAGAAAAACACAGCCGAGGCCTCTGTCCTTCCAGAGCTCTTGCAGTTTCCCTACTTGAAGAACAGGAGAGCTCAGGAGAATGAAGAAACTTACCCAGGGTCACACGCTAATGAGGGGCTGAGTCAGGATCTGAGCCCAGGCCTTTCTGAGCCCACACCCAGCCCCATCTTCTCCACCAGGCCCCTCCTGCACAACGCCTTTGTAAGCTCTCAGAACCCTGAGCCCCAGGACCACCCCCTCTGCGGGGCGGCAGGAAGGCACCAGCCCCTGCTCAAGGGGCTCAGGAGCAGCAGCCCTTACCCAGGGGACAGCCTCCTCCCTGGACACAGCGGGGCAGCAGGCAGTGCAGAGCAGGGTCCTGCAGGAGAGACGGGGGCGCTGGCTGATGCAGAGCCCGCAGAGCCGTCCAGGGAAGAGTCTTCCTCCGTCTCGAGAGCCGCAGAGCCTAGGCAGGGACAAGCATGAGGAAGGGGCTTTAGCGAAAAGCAGGGGGCAGGAATCCAGACTCCGCCCCTCGGGGGCCCTGGGAGCGTCCTGAATTTAAGGCTCAGTCAACCCGTCTGTAAAATGGAGGTTTTAACACTTTCCTTTAAACGTTATGGAGAGAAAACGAGTTAAGGGTCTTTGCAGGAACCGACGAGCGGCCTTGGGGGATTAAATGCCAGGAGTCGGAGGAGGAGGTGGGCGGTGAGGATCGGGGGGCTCTGGCGCCCCTCCGGCCCGGGTTCACACCCGGCTCCGCACGACGCCCCGCGGGACCTCGGGCCACGCGTCGCCGAACCCGTTTCTCGCCATCAGGGGACAAGTCCTCCCACCGGGAGGTGAGGGCGGGGGCCGGACGCCCGCCGGCTCCAGAGCAGCGTCGGCCGACCCCACAGGCCCGTTTCTCGAGGGCACGAATCCCGAGAGGTCTACTCGGGCGGAGGGGGCGGGCAGGGAACCGGGAGCGGGCCGGGGCTCGGAGATGACCTCCAGCCGCTCTCCCCTTGGGGCCTCAGTTTCTCTTTATAGAGGAGGCGCAGAGCACGTGCCCAGCACTCGCCCCAGTGGACTCACCCAGGGCGCCACGACCGAGTGGACTGGGACAGCGGTGGAGACATAGGCAACAGTACGAAAAGGGTCGGATGTCCGAGGATTCTGCAGGATGCCGTAGAAGGCCGCGACACGGCGTACAAAGACTGGGACGGTGGCCACAAGCGCAGGAACCCTCTCCCCGGGCCCAGCGTCGCCGGAAGTGCAGCTGAGGCGCGACCTGCGGCCTAGAGCGACGTCTCCTGGGGCTGATCCCGCGCGACCAGTCCTGCGGCGCCCCCTGGTGGAATGGCGCTCAACTTCTGACTGTGGACGACTTGGGATAATTTCCAAAAGCAGTCTGGGATTTTGGAAATAACGTTCCCTCACTCGTTTTGCTTTTCTGTTTGTTCTGTTTGTTGTCGCTGATTTGTCATTAATCTGTAGGAATTGTTACTCTTCCATGTGAGGAGCTGTTATTAGCAAGAGCTCATGTTGATTGTGTTTAGTTTTGACAATAGAGATCTTATCCGATCGACCACAGTGTTCACAGTACCTAGGTTAGTGGCCGGCACAACTGAACAAATGAGTGAATTCTGGCCATTTATTTGGACATCGCCGGACTAAAATATTGTTCCGATGACCTGTAACTGGAACGTGAGGGTGACAAGAAGATAAGCCTAGAGAGTAGGCAGATGCTTTGCTAAACTTCGCTCCACAGGTGAATGAGTCCTTGAAGCAGAAGGGACTTGATCAGATTTGCATGGTGGCAGAGAAGACAGACAGAGGTCCCATGCTCCCGACAGCACACTGCAGACAGGCTTGAGAGGGGATTCACAGCCTCCAAACTTCACAAGCATTAGCACTGCCTGCATCCTGGGCCAGGTGTGCTTCTGGGACCTGAGGCAGCCCTGCCAGTAACTCGGCCCACACTCTGAGGAGTAAACAGCCTAAGGAGGGAGAGCCTGGGTCAGATTCCTGGCACTCAGTAGGTCAGCACAATGTGGAAATCCAGGACTGACCGATGCTGCCAAGCGGGCAATGGGGGTCTCTGAGGGTGAAAATACTCCATATTCTGTACCAGAGGAGCCCGTGGGATTCTAAGACTGTGAGAACTTTGAGGGTCTTTGTGATGGGGAGGGGCCATGGGATGCTGTGGCTGTGAAGACACTGGACAAAGGGGTTAGGTATGCACACTGTGGCCACACAGCCCTGGTGTCCTCCCCTGCCTCTTGCTCTTACTTTCCATGTGACCTTGACTAGATGACCTAATGTCGCCGTCTAGCCTTACTTTTCCTTTCCTGAAAAGGAGGCAGAGTCATAGCTCCTGTCTTATAGCATTGCTATGAGAGTTAAGTGAAATGATTCCTATCAAGAGCATAGCCCAGGGCAAAGGTCTAAGGCATGGTAGTTGCTATGCTTTAGTATTTCTGAGAAAGCCAAGGACTTCTGTCGCTGTGCAGACACTGGGGGATTATTTATGAGGCAGAGAGGGTGTGCTGTGTTTGAAAAGTCTAAGGCAGCGCTGTCCAGTAGAAATATAACGCCAGGGCCAGCCCCGTGGCTTAGCAGTTAAGTGCACGCGCTCCGCTGCTGGCGGCCCAGGTTCGGATCCTGGGTGCACACCGACGCACCGCTTCTCCGGCCATACTGAGGCCACGTCCCACATACAGCAACTAGA